CTTACTTTTCTTTATTATATCTCTTTATAAATATTATTCGACCCCTATCTTCATCATCTTTTTAAGTTATCTGTTTCTTACAGCCTCTTCTTATATTCATATTTTCTACATCTTCCTTATAAATCTTTTTTATATTCAATTTTTGAAAAATTCTGACAAGAATAACATTTGATCTATTAACCTATTCTTCTAGTTTTTTTTTTCTTTCATTGCTGGTAATATCTTCTTACTAATCTTTAGGTGGCAGTTTAACTATATATGGTATGACTAAAACCTCATTTCTAATCTACAACATTTTTTTTACTACATATTATCCCCATTCACTATTCTTGTAATCTTCAAAAATTTTTCAATTACCTTTTTTTTTTCTCCTTTAAATTTCATGTGTAACACACTTTCATGTCATCTTTTATTCTTCTAATTTTTTCGCCCACTATCATAATTGTCGACTATTTCCCATTTTCTATTTATCCACCTAACTACCTTTTTAATTCCCTTTTCATTTCATTACTATTTTCACCTAAATCTATAATCATTTTTTCTCTTTTATCTTCACTTACCCTCTTTGCTTTTGTATCTCACGTGCCTCTTCTTTTCCATCTTCTTCCTTATGACTCCACTCAATTTTCCTCTGATTATTTTGATCTTTTTGCCAAACTCCCTCCCCTTCATTGTTTAGATTATTCTACATTAGTGTTGCTCGTAAATTTGGGCCATAACAATCTCCTCTTACTCTCCATGCCAAAGTTTTCTCCTTATACTAATAGTTTTTCTTCACATGACTTAGTCAACCACACTTAAAACAAAAATTAGATAGTTTTTTATACCTCAATTCTGCCCACACTTTTTTGCCTCCACTTCTTGAAACTTAAAAGCCCTCATTCAATAGCCTAATAATGTCTATGGCCACCTTTGCGTATAAAAAACTCTTCCCTATTCTTCCATCACTCAATGGATTTTTCGCTTTCACCAATTCCTCCAAAGTTTTTTCAATATTTTTTGCATTTTGCTTCATATAAAGTTTTAGTGGTAGTTTATGGATTTGAATCCAACATTCCACTTTTGAAAAACATAGCTCCTTTAGAGATATTTTCATATCCCATTTCACCAAGTTCAAGCAATATCCCATTATTGATCGTGGCCCTTTTTCCAATGCTTGTATCATCATCTTCTCTCTCACAAAAGCAAACTCAAACAAATTTACTCCTAACTTTTTAATACTTACAACTTCATTCATCATCCACATATTCCTCATAATCCCCATTACTCATCTATGATTTAGAGGTTTTTTTTTTGCAATGACTCTTCCTACTGGGTAATACTTCCCAGCTTCCCTAACCTTTGTGCTTCCTGTCTCCAGTTCAATCTCCGAATCCTTCATCCTTTTATACTCAAACTTGATTTTGCAAGAAAGGATGTTATAGGCTAATAGTAACGGATAGCTTCAATTTTTTTACCAACAACAGTCTCTTAATTACAACTTACAAACTCAAACATAAGGTTTCTTTTACACAAGAAAACTTAGAAAACAAAAAATAAAAAATAAAAGAACAACAAAATAAAAGAATGAAATGAACAATGGAGGCCAAAAAAAAAAAAAGATGATTTTGATGGTTACAGCAAAAAAAGACACCTAATAGGGATTAAAGCTAAAAGAACAATTGAAAACGAAAAAAAACCTTAATATTCTAAGGGAAAGTTGAGATGACTCAGAGAAAACTTTCATTCTTAGAGAGAGAAGCTCTTAAGTAGAGAGAGAAAATGATTGCATAATAAGTTTAGTTGGTTAAAATGATTATTCCATGGAATTATCATTCAAGTTATATTTCTTTTGTTTCCTAAATACCTTTTCTAAAGCCTTTCCTAAGAATAGCCATTCTTGATACATCAAGAATAGAATCAATGTTCATGCAACTATTTTACCTTAATTATTTTTTTTGAATTTCCACAAATACCCAAGAACCATGAGAGGGATAGACATTGGAATAGATTTTCAAAGTCACTCCAATGATGGAATCACCATGGGAAATTGTAGCTAACCAATAATGTAGCATTCTGGTAGCACACATTCAGCCATTATTTGCACCAACAAGACATATCAATAGGCAAATCTGACCATGGGCAATGGCCTTTTTCCATCAACAACCATGTTTAAACTCTTAAAAGTGTAAGAATAATATGCCAATGGTCTAATTTGGACCAAAAAAAAAAAGATTTGTACTATCCGACAATTAAATCATGGGATTTTTACCTTAAAGAAAGGGTTCAAAAGTGGGCAGATCCTAGCACCTATGGCTGGATCTTAGCAATAGCTGAGGAAAGGAAAATATGTAGTAGACAATCGAGTTTGGAAGGAGGAAGAACAAAACAAAAGAAAGAAATAAAGAAGAAAAGAAGAAACAATTCTCAAATAATGTAAAATGAAAAGTTGTAACAAAATAAATTTATTAAATATCTGTAAATAAAAGTTAAATTTGTCTTTCTTCAAAAATAAAATTACATTTTTTTTTGGAAAATTTTAAATTTTTAAAAAAGGTAAAATGATACTTTTCTAGTTATTTCTTTTGTATTCTTGTCTCTAATTTTAACTAATCAAACATAGTTATAGGATCCTTACTGTATTCAATTCTATCAACCAAACTATAAAATAGTTATTCTCTCTTTATTTTATTTCCACAAAATGCATATTGTATTTTTATTTTTTTATTTCCTGAATCAAATGTATCATAAATGACAAAAAACAAGAGACATAAATACTTGAGGATGAATTAATTGAGGTATTTCATCTATGATTATTATATTATAATTAATTAATTATAATTTAAAATTATATAAAATTTATTAAAATTTGATATATAATTTATATTTATAAATTATGAATTTTTATATATTTTTATTATAATTTGATAATTATAGAATTATAATAAAAAAAATTTATTAGTGAAATACACCCGAAACAAATGGTTCGGCCACTTTAAGTAAGAATCGGAAACAACAAAAGAGAACTTGAATCGGAGAATCTTTCCAACTGTTGCGTGACGAAACCTCCACATAATTTTGCTGAATCTGAAAGCAAATTTGTGGCCTACTACCCAAAAATTTTATGCGTGTCCATACTCATCATAACACGTACATCTCTACTTTCAGCCGATCTGCACTGCCGTAACCTGTCGTCTTTTTGGACCATTCACCGTCGCCTTCGCTTTTCCACCATTATTTACAACACTTGATAAATAGCCACGTTAATTAATAATGGTTTTTTATATGGCTGTTTCTTTATATATATATATATATAAGGTATTTATATATATGGCTGTTTCTTATTTGAGCCATAAATTAACCATGATTCTTACCAGCTGATCTCACTGAACAACTGCAGAAACTTTTCGACAAGATATATGGTGTTGGAGGCGTTGGAGTCTTTACTTTTCTACATAGGTATATTTTTAATTATGGGGTAATTAAGAGAAGCGAAGTGTGGCCAAATGGGATTTGGGATGCAAAATAGTGGGTCATGGATAGGAATGATAAAAAGAGTATATTTGTATATAAATTCATTTAATATTTATAATATTTGAATTTATTTAAATATTTATTTAAATTTAATATTATTATTTAAATTCATATTCATTTAAATAAATATTATATATTTAAATATCAAATTTGTTAAAACATCATTTATTTATTTATTTTATCAAAATATAAAATAAATAAAAATTTAATTAAAATTTAAATTCACTCTTAATTAATAATAATAAAATTTATTTTTTAAAATTCAAGTATAAAAGTTTATATATTTTATTTATGTAAATAGATAATGAATTCAGATATTTATTATTATTCATTAAAATTTAAATGAATTTAGATATTAAATATTTAAAAATATTATTCATTTAGAATTTGATATAAATAATAAATTTTTTATTCAAATTTGTTAATTATTTTTTATAATTATTTCAATTCGAAATAAATAAATTGAATAATCACAAAATCTATTTATTTACTATTCATTACTATTTTAAGTTATGGGACACGCAATAAAATGAATATATATATATATATATATTTGCTCAAAATAAAAGGAAAGTTTTATATGTTGAAAAATTGCTTTGTTTTATATATCATCCGCTTTTGGCTGCAAGCTTTTGGCAAACCCAGTAAGAATCTTTGCAATCAAAAGCTATGATCACCAAATTAACAATTGATGTGCCCATGTGCATCAGCTCTCGGCCTCTTCATTTTTCTTTTTCAACGACGAGACGTGCCCTTGTCCATAGCCTTGTTATGTTTCTCTTGTCTTAATATTTTTTTCTTAAAACGTTGGGATAAATTTTGATTTCTTTAGTATAAAATTGGGCTAGTGATGCACTGATGCAAACTTGCTAACAGATCCCACAATGGATTACAGTTGGAGTAACATTAAATTTAATGTTTTCAAGTACTCAGTTGGTCGATCGGTGAAATTAATCTATTTTTGGATAAATTAGTAGCATGCATATGGCGATGGAGTTTGCATGTATTGAATTATAGTCACTCCATCTTATAAGTTATGTTTGATTTAATTTTTTTATAGTCAAATTTTATTTTAAATATTTTATTATATTTATTTTTATAAAATTATATTTTAAAACTAGATTGTTCAAGGTTCTTAAAAAATATTCTCATATTTTAATTAATAATATATTTAAGATAAAATTAAAATTAAAAAATTTTAAATCTTAAAAATTAAATCAATATATTATTTATAAGAAGAGAGAGTAGTACATGAAAAAAACATATGGAAATACGCAACTAGCGCATTGGATACTAATTTGAGTAATATCATTTTTTTAGTCATTTGAATTATTTTTTTTAGTTATTTTAAAAAATAAATTCATTTAATTTTAAAAATATATTTATATTAATTTTTTATAGCATGCATCAAATATAAAAATAAAAAAAAATCAGTTTTCGGTTAAAAAGAAAAAGTTTAAGTAATTTTTAAGTTGACCTTCATGTTAATGGTCATTGTTATGTCTTGGAAAGGAGAATCCAACCCAAGCATGGGAAGTGTGAGTGAGGGATATATGAAAAAGCAAAGCTAAAAGTGGGGAGTATAAATCAAAATCAACAGAAAGGATTATGAGTCAAAAGCTGCTCGGAAGGTAACATACATAGAAGTAGGTCAGGTTCTTTAACATCCTTTGAGTGTCTCAATCTGTACGATAAGAAAAAAGAAAGCCCGATCCCAATATCATAGCCTGACCTCTAGTTTTAGCTTAGAAGTTAGATCTGCCAATTCTTTTTCTAAGTCTGCCGTCAGTCAGTCCCTACTATATCCCTTCCAAATTCCAACCAGTAATTTTGGAACATAAACACATGCCTACAAATTGACCCCTCCCTAACTCCTTCCCACCCCCTTGCCTCCCCCTCCTTCCTCTCCTGTCATTTTCCTTCCCTACTTTCACTTATTTCAGTCTCCCTCTCTCTCTCTTTTTACAGCTTGGTTCTTTTTTCTGTTTCTTGATTCAGTCACATAGCAGCATTTCCCTTATGGCTTACCGTCACCAAGCGCAGTTTTTTCTTCATCTTTTTGTGTTGTTTTCTCTCAATGCGGCTGTTTTATCATTTGACCAACGACCCAACATCAGCGCCGTTGATCTGGCTGCATTGTCAGCTATCAAAGACAGCCTGACAGACATTCCAGGCTCAAGATTCTTCTCCACTTGGGACTTCTCCGCACCAGATCCTTGCTCCTCATTCACCGGCGTCACCTGCTCTTTTAATCGTGTCACCATTCTCTCGCTCGGCACTGGCCTCTCCCACTCACCTGGACTTGCTGGCTCACTCTCCCCTGCTCTTTCCAACCTTACCGAGCTAACCCAGCTCGTCCTCTTCCCCGGTCTCATCACCGGTCCCATCCCTCCCCAACTGGGTCAACTCACTAGTCTTCGAGTTATTTCCTTAAACAACAACCGCTTAACAGGACCCATACTAACCTCCTTTTCTACTCTCCCAAACTTACACACTCTCGATCTGAGTTCAAACCAACTCACCGGGTCAATCCCGCTGGGTCTCACAAAGCTTCCATCTTTAAAAGTTCTGATATTGAGCTCAAACGATTTAACAGGAGAGTTACCCAGGACAGTGTCGGCGCCGCTATTACACTTGGATTTGAAGAAGAACAACATCAGCGGACTATTGCCAAGGTTGCCGTTAACTCTCCGTTACTTGTCACTGTCGGAGAACTCACTGTGGGGTCCACTAAACGGCCTGGAATCGCTATCCGAGTTAGTGTACCTCGACGTTAGCATGAACAAATTCAGTGGGCCCATCCCAAGTTCACTCTTCCTCAACCCAAGTCTCTCTTCACTGTTTTTGCAACGGAACAATTTATCAGGTGGGCTCCCATCAATCAAGATGGACCCCACGATTGAATCCTTCGGCAAGGGATCCATCGTGGATTTGAGCCATAACTTTATCACGGGGCAAGTAACTCCGTTGTTGGCCGGAGTTGAGACTCTGTTCTTGAATAACAACCACCTGATTGGACCAGTCCCTGAGGAGTGCATTAAGAGCGTGTATAGTGGCACAACCAAAACATTGTATTTGCAGCATAACTTTTTATCTGGATTCCCATTACCTCAAGGTTTGGCTTTACCTGATACGGTGTCCCTATGCTTGTCCTACAATTGCATGGTGCCACCGGTTGGGATATCAGCCTGCCCAGCTAGTGCGGGTACGCAGCCATCGAGGCCGGAATCGCAGTGTTCAGAATTCAGCCATCTTAGCTCCATGGACTGAGATCAGATAAGGTCGATGGCTATGTTATTCTCTTTATACTCCTAGTTGGTTTCGAGTTTATATAATATGTTCAGAAAAGAGTGATTAAACAGTTAAGAAGACAGGTTTTATTAGCTGCCTGCTCGTCTTTTAGTAATAGGGCATTTTTTTTTTTTAATTTTCTTTTAAAAAAAGTGCTTGGTTACAACATTATTTCACATTAATGGATTACGTGAAAGGCTGTGTGAAAGTGAATGAGCAAGGCGTAGATGTGATTTTAGAATATTATTACATTATTATGAATTTATTGAAGTTTGTCACGCTTGGAACAGTGACATATTTATAATATTATACCTAATGAATTTTTTTCCAATGTTATAAATTAATTCAAATAATTTTTTTTATTTCCAAAAAATTCAAATCATTTTTCTTTTAATTAATTTTTATATTTAATTTAAAATCATTACATTTCAATCATATATTTAATAAAAATGCAACCTTAGATAAAATAATAAAAATTTTTGCCGCTTTAAAATGGAAATGATTTTTCTCCACATATTTATGGTCCACATGCACTTTTTTTGTCAACGCATGCGATCCCACTCATAAATTACTTCTTAATTTCTCTCTGCCAATGTGGTCTACAGTTACACTATGCAAAACTTTTTTTTTCTTCTTTTATTATTAAGTGGAAAATAAAAAAATAAAAAAAAATTCCGTCTTTGATAATCTGATATGTATATATAATCATTTTTATAGTTCAGTACTTTCCTAGCTATGTTAATATTATCTAAAGTATATTGAAATTTGAAAATTATCAAAGTATCCCTTTATAGGTTATGTGCTATGCTGATTTTAAAATCAAGCTATACTATATTTAAGATCTAGATCTTTTCTTATATTAAGTTACCAAGTATAACTTAAAAAATGTGATTATAATTATTCACGTTCATAATTTCAAAGAAAATCAGTTAGAAAACAAAACAGAGTATAGCATTATATAGTTGAAACTTGATTCAATTTGATCCAAATGAAACCCACAATAATTTAGTTCAAAAAATGGTGAAAAAAAGAAGACAAAGTAAGCAATATAATATATGTGAGAGAGGGAAAATGACAGAAGAGAAGGAGAGGGAGACAAGGGGTCTGGGGAAAACTTTGAGAGCAATCCCTGCATAAATTAATCACGACACGTGAATGGAGACGTAGTATATTACAAAATTCCTAAAAAAATTATGATAATCAAAAATCAAAATAATAATACAAACAAACGTCAAAGATTAAAAAAAAAATGTTGCTTATGCCCCTTCTTCAAATTATTTGGACTATTTCTAATTAAAGTGGTATAACAGGTTGATAATAATGTACATATGGACTAACTCTTTTGTCAAAGATGGTTTGAATAGTTGGTGGTTTTATTATTTCCATATTTGGCTTTTATTCTTTAAGGATTTAGAAAAAGTTTAATGTCATAAATTACTTTTAAATTATAATAAAATGTTTCATTTAGGGAAATGAATTTTAAAATTTTTTAATATAATACTTAAATTATGAATCTGTTAATTAATATAATACTCACATTTAATACGGTTAGTTTTAAATAATGAAATGTGACAAACAAACAATTCATATATCACATTACTTAATAAATTTATAATTAAAGTAGATTTTTAAAGTTTAAATATTATATTAAATATTTCACTATAATTTATGAGTTATTCATGCTATTAACATTTTAAGAAAATGACCATTCACTCTTTTAATCTTTACAAGAAACCAGAACTCATTCCACACCTTGGTTTTCATTATATATAAGATGTGTTTGGTGTATAAAATTATAATAAAAGGGGATAAAATGATATTATGATTAGTTTTAGATTAAATAATATTATACTATTTTGTATTTGATATATGCAATTATTAGAATATGATAATTTATTTATTTACAAAATTATTCTTTCTCAAAATTTATATAATTTAAATTATTAATGTAATTTTTAAAAATATAATAAGATATATAAGTTCAATCCTATAAATTAAAAATAATCATCTCTATTTTAAGAGAAAGAGAATAGTTAATTCTCCTTACAATTTTATTACTTTCTTTAGATACATATAATATAAAATAATTATTATTTTATCTTATCTATTATCTTATACATCAAATATAACTATAGTGTAGATTTTGCCATGAAAAATCTTAACAGCCCTGAAAACATAGGAAAGAATGTTCCTTTCCAAGAAGCCACTTTGTGATCAAGGGGACTCTGGACTTGTCTTTACAACAGATCCAAAGCCTCGTCTTGGTGGACTGTTGAGTTGAATGAGCGATTTGTAGAGCTTGGAGGACCAGACGGTACTCTCCATTCAGTCACTTCAGACTTAATCTTGCTTGTTAATTCTTGTTACTAATTCAGGTCTTTTCTCTCCTTTTTAATGTTGTGACTTTAAAACATAGAGGCCACACCAAAGATCACATTGAAAATCATGGGAGTTGAGGGTCTTACTCTTTACCATCTTAAGAGCCATCTTCAGGTGCTTATATATATATATATATATATAAATAGATATATAAAGCTGCCAAAATTTGAACAATGATCATTAAAACTAAAATCCCAACATTCTACCAGCGGACCACGTCCCCTTTTTACTTCTATTCATTTTCATTTCTACTGTTTAATTTCTGATTTGGCTCTTCAATTATTATGTAAAAGAAATTCAGGCTTGTGAGACAACCACAAAAAAATTTCAATGACCATTCAGTTGGGGACAGCAGGAAAGGTGAATTTCCTCCCTCAGCTTCCAATTTCATTTCTTATCTTCGTATTGTTAATATAAAATATCAATTCCTTACAACTTGACACCTGTATTATTTGCATTTTCAGTGTTTGACTTCTTAAAAATGCAGATTCCAATTCCTTCGATCAATGAATTAAAACTCCATTTGCAGATATCCGCACTCAATTTGTGAGGTATTGTCCGTTTTAACTCGAAGGTCTTATAATTTTATCTCATAAAAGAGATCTCAAAATTTGAGATTAAATCTTTACATATATATATTATTTTTTATCCACACATCCTCTTAATATGAGATTGAGGGTATTACAATCTATCCACCTTTAATGCTTGACGTCCCTGTCAAGTTCATCCATAAGACCAAGATTACACCAGATCATCGTATAACACTTAGTGACTCCACGGCTCCATCGTGTAGCATTTAGTGACTTTCACGACTGCGGACTGATGACTACTCTGATACTATTTGTAGAGATTTGCATTTAACCTGCGAGGTATTGTCCGCTTTGATCCGAAGGTCTCACGGTTTTATCCCACAAAAGACGTCTCACAAGTTTAAAATTAAATCTCTATATATATATATTATTTTTTATTCACACATCCTATTAATGTGGGATTGAGGGCGTTACACTATTAATGGAGTTCTTTTCTCTGGCCTGTTACATGCATGTAACTTGAAATCAACTTTCGGGAGTGTGCGTCAAACAGGAGAAGTTAGAATGCAAATGGAAGTAGGAAGGAGAATGAATGAAGAGTTAGAGGTAAGAAAGAAACAGATAAGAAAAGCTTTTCAATTAAACCATGCATTTCATATTTTGGCAATCCTTATTTTGTTCTTGATCTTGCGGCACCAGGTTCAGAAACACGAAACACCTTCAAATGAGGATTGATGATCAAGGAATATATATGCAGACAAAACTGGAGAAAGCAGCTGCACAAACACTTTCTGAGGAAATTCCAAACTCTCAATGCTACAAATATTTTGGTATTCAAAATTATGGGAACATGGGAGTCGGGAAAAATATAGATTTGGTTCCCTGCTGAATTTTCTACCCATTGAGGAATTGCGCTCTATACCTGCATCAGAAACCGCTTATATGGAAAAACAGTGGAAGAATATAAACATTAAGAACCTTGAGAGTCCCATGGTTATTTGGTCTGATGATTTACAGCCCGATGATATTGTAATAGCAACTCCTGATTTTCATTCAGATGGAGATTCTTTCAAAGATGACCACCTTTGAATCCTTTTGCTACATTTTACTTCACATGCGGACTCATAGGAAAAGAGATCGAAGCTTCCCAACAGTATTTTAAGGCTATACAGAAAATGTTGTTGTAGGCCTCATTTGGATTTACCTGAAGCTCCAGTGTGTTGCGTTTTCTTCACTTTTTTCCTTCAATCTTACTGTGATTCATATTTAGATAACATCAGTGATGGTGAGTTTGCTAGCCTGAATCCCATTGATACGTAAGTTGAAGATTGGACCTTTGAAGGCTCAGTGGATAACTGATATCCCAACAAGTCTTTTTTATCCCCATTATTTTTTTTACATTCTTATCATGCCCTTAAATGAGTTTTTATTTAGAAAGAAACCTAATAAAATAGTATATTAAACTTAAGAGAAAAATAAGTGAGAAAAAAAAAAAAGATTTTAGGTTTTTAGATTATTTTTTGATTTTATTTAAATGGGTTTTTATTAAATAAAATAGTATATTAAAGTTAAGAGAAAAATAAGTGAAAAAATAGTATATTAAATGAGTTTTATTTACAAAAAAACCTAATAAATATTATATTAAAGTTAAGAGAAAAATAAGTGAAAAAAAATCAGATTTTAGGTTTTTAGATAATATCAAATTTTATTTAACATTTAAAATCTACAAATTTTATTTAATAAAAATTTTATTTACAAAAAAACCTAAAATCTGATTTTTTTCACTTATTTTTCTCTTAACTTTAATATACTATTTTAATCTCAGAAAAAATTTTGCTATTTATTAAATAAAATTTTTAGATTTTAAATGTTAAATAACATTAACATATATACATAAAAATATTTCTCAACATTTAATAATAAAAGTATTATTTGATATAAAAATAGCTTTACTAATTTTTAACTTATTAACGAAAATATTATTTGATATTAAATAATTAAAATTTTTTTAATTATTTATTAATTTAAAAATATTAAATATATATTATAAATTTGTTAAATATAAATTTTAATCTAATGTCCTTAATGATAATTTTTTATTTTTACTATACTTTATCTCACTGTTACTATTGCTTTTACATCCAAATACATCGTTTAATCTCACTGTTACAATAACTGATCTCACTATTATTGTAATTTTTAATATCATTAAAATTAATCTCAGTGCCCATTCCAATAAACCCTTAGTCTACAACTCTATATGTACCAAATAAGAGTTGCAAGAAATCACGTGAAATGAGGTTTCATGGCTGACTTTCACTCATTGATGAAGCTTTCATTATGTTCGAGCTGCATTACTTTCTCTTGTATCCAGAAATAAGACAGCCAAAATGTAAATCAGAGATACAGGTAATTTGCCAGTCATGGTTTACAGTTTGCACACATTAGATCAGCTTTTGATATTCTGCGTTAAGTGACGGCAATGTCAATTTTGTCTCCTTTCATAGTACAAGTCTGTTAGTTTTTTCATTGAAATCTCAAAGAGTTTGTGTAACACGCCAGCCAGAGGCAGCAACTTCCAGAGTCAGGAGAATGGACATATCACCTTCTTTAATGCTATTGCCTAACCTCATTCAAAAATATTTTGGCATGAACTCAATCTTGGAACTGTGTCCTTCCAAAACAAAATTGCAGCTCTGTTGCAATAGATTCATTCCTCCTGATGTTTATTAGCTGAAGAGGTCTGTATCAGATCATCTTTAGGACTGTGATCTCAACACTAAACACATGGCATGACATGCACCGACTGCAACAGATAGCACATTGTGGGGTCCCAATCCATCGTCCTCCATTAGAAAATTGACTTCAACAGGACTTGGTTGAACCTCCGGTAGCCCAGGAACACCCAGTTGTGAATCTTTTGCATTCCCCCACATGTACAATTTTCCTTGATCTGTTTAGAACAAAAAAAATCAGTAAAATGCACCTTGTGATTTACTATACTGCAACGATGAGAAAACAGGAAAAAGCAGTATCCAAATATGAGGCTCAGGTGGTAGGTTGAGAAGGTTGTGTCGTGTGCACAACCTAGGTTTGAGTCAGGCTACTGTATTGCATGTCAGCTTATGCCCGTGCGTGTGTGTGTGAGACAGAGAGAGAGATAGCAACATGAAGTTTGAATGAGAACTTCAAAGGGAGTAATGGGTTTTCCAGTCGATTCAACAGCTCTGACCTAGACCTTCAAATCCAGTAGTAAGAGGTTTCGAGTTAGATTTTTTTACTCCACTTTTTTTCTAGGGCATTGGTTAGGGCATGAATTGGTTGTGAATATACAAACTAATAGAAAACACATCAATCATGAAAAGGTTCATCATAGTTGTTAGTTACACCCATCATCCCTGCCAAACCACAACAGACCCACCTTGAATTTACAGTTAGATGTTAATATTAAAAAACTCAGATGTTTTAAGAATATCTAGTCAATAATCATTATTCATTCACAGACTAGCAACCTGGTAATAAAAGCCAAGGCCTGGATTTGCATTTTATGTCATGATCACCAATGAGCAGACAGATGCTATAGAGCTAGAGCCAAATCAGTTTGATTAAAGCCTACTTCCAAATAATAAAAAATTGCATAGTAATTCCTTTAAATTTCAAGGAAATAATAGCAAGAATGATTTCTTGACCATATGACACTATGAAATTAGTTTAAAATGCTGAAAACAGAGTTCTGACTATTAATACTGGACAAGGATACTTAAAAGCTGACATAATATCTGTGGTGAACTCTATGACTACATAAATATGAAAAGATAATAAGTTGTCTTATTGGTTGTATCTGTGGACGCTTTACATGGCTAAATGGTTGTACAAGTGAAAGATCTGAGATGTTTACAAGCTTGAGCTATCTAATACACAATATTACCAGAAACACATACATAACTCGTCTTACCAGTTATAGCAGCTGAAGATGAACCTCCACAGGCAATATAGACAACACGCTTATCAGCCAAAGCTTCAATTATTACAGGAACTTTCTGATTTTCTATAGAAGAATGACCCAACTGACCATGCCCACCGTGGCCCCATGAAAGTACTTTACCTTCATCTGAAATAATATCAGAATAAATCAATAATTATAGTATTATAGTAAAAAGAAAAGAATCTAGAAAGCAAAAAAGACTCATGGCACTGTTTTTACCTGTTAATGCAAGAGAATGATATCCACCACTTGCTATCTGAATGATACGAATACTTTCAAGGCTAGGAATTGGTTTTGGTTTCCAACCACCAACCTTATCACCTCTTCCAAGCTCATAGTTGGAATTTGCTGAGTAAAACATGAAGCAAAATTTATAAATACAGGGTACAGAAAGGAAATTTCATGAACTGGTGAAATGATATTAGTCAAACCATCAAAAAATAAAAAAATCATCTCTACCACAATCAAAAAGAGAAAATGAAAAAGCAAGTTAAGAAAGGGAACATTGATGAACCCTACTAAACAAAACCTTTTAACCCTTTCATCCTTTAGAAGAAAGATCAGGATGAGAAGCTCTTTTTCTTTTCTAGATCAGAATGAGAAGCCCATTTCCTTTTCTTTGCCCTCTCTTTGGCATTTTTTCTTCTTTTCTTCTTCTCCCTCTTCTATCCCCGCTTTTCAGCTCACATCTTTTTTATGCTGATTAATGTCAGACACCTAATTTCTTTAGTCCTTTTTTTCTTCTTTGCCTCTTTCACCAATTAGCATCTAGTGGGAGTCCAACCTCTCAAGACATCCTTAACTTGCTCATTACATGTTCCAAGTTCAATAAGGTTCAGTATGCGACGATCATATTTTTAACCCATTCTCTAATATAATCTTAACTCTTACCTTGTTGAACCAGTCCCCCATTTAATAGTTGCAAGTGAATCATGTTACCTGTCCACCTGGTAGCTCCTTTAGTATGTTTGACAAACAGTGTCACATTTTTAAGGGAGTTTTAGAGGATATTTTACTGTCATGCTATTACTTTTTCAGCTACATGTTGGTCTTGATTAATGTTTATCTCAGTAGGCATGGATCAGATAGACTATCTTTCTAATCTACCTTTTGGTGCTCATGGCTGCTTTAGAATAAAAAATAATTAAATACCCATATACACAACAAAAAGAAATGTAAAATATAGAGATAGGAAGAGACATATTACCACCCCAGTTCCAAAGTTGTCCCTCCTCTGTCAATGCCATTGTGAAGAAACCACCACAGGAAACTGCAACCATAGGAGTTGGTAATTCTTTCACTTTGGAAGGGATACTAAGTCCACCTCCCTCATTTGGGCCTCGACTAGGACCAAGGCCTAATCTACCATCCCCTTCTTCTCGGCCCCACATGTATAAGTCTCCTAATTCGATGAATAAACAGCTAGATTTAGATGGAGAAAAAAAAAAAAAATATATATATATATATATATAATATAAAAATGAAGCAATACAATGTGAGAAATGAGTGCAATGGATAAGTAGCACAACATCTAAAACCTGTTGATAACACTAATTTGCTATATTTTTCGGCGTACAGTAAGATACATTGCTTGCCACATTCTTTTTCAAAGCTTCTCTTTATAGTTATTATTAACTAAACTATTATCCCTCCTTTCTGCTATATTTTACTCTTTTATTCAGCCAAAATGCTGCAGGGTATGTATTCATGTTCTAAATAGCACTATGATGACATTACCTAATCCAAATTTTCATTATCATTTTTCTAGATGCCAACAAGAAAGTTCCCACATACAGGGGTATGGAAGTGCTGAGCATGTCTGATATTTCATTAATAGACTAAGGTTGTAGTACAGAAAAAAGTTCTCCTTGATTCTTTAAACAAGTAATTCTAGCACACAAAGATACACAGAAGGCAACAGAGCATGCACCACCTGAAGTTCAAGAAATGATATATTGCATTGCAATTATCCAGGTTTTTAATAACAAATTTGTTACCGTGACTGACGCAAAGTAATTTTCTTCAAAGAAATGTATTAAATATTGAAAATGCATTAAATATCTGTGTTTATCGAGAAAATACATCCAGGTTCAATGTATTTTTTGCTAGTACTAAAATTTAAAGACAAACAACTTTCATAGAGATAGCACATCCAAAAACTGAAAGTAATTTATTGTAGGTAGAGACATTCTTTCTTTGACTTTCCAGTGCACTTGAATATACAAAATATCCCCAATTGTACAATCTTTGTTTATTTACTAGATATCTGTATGCTTGACATTCACCATGTTCAGCAGAAAGGAAAGAGGAAGAAAGAAAAGGGAGTGGAAGGAAAGTAGTGTTTCTATCCCTCCCTTCATTTAGCAGGAAGGAAATAAGAGGAGGGAGGAAAATGGATGGATTTGCAACTTTCCCTTCCTTCCAAATTGGGAGGAAAACACACTGTCTACATACTTAACATTTTATTTACAATTTTACCTATAATCTCTTTCTTTCCATCTATTTTCCATCTTTCCTACCAGATGCGAGGATGGAAAAACAACTTTCCCTTCTTATCCTTCATTTTTTTTCTTTAATGTGCCATCAATTTCTTTCTTAAACCCCCCCCCCCCCCCGGAAATTTTTTGGCCCATGGAATTCATGTATCATTATAAATTAAGACGACAAAAATTGGAACAGGCTCAAACAAAAAAAAAAAGAAAAACATATGCAAGAAGCAGACCTAAAATATAAAGAAACACAAAAGCAGTGGAACATGTCAATCAAGGGCATGAGTCACATCTAGCAAAAACACAGGCATAGAAAGTCAAGATCTATTTTATCATGACAATAGAGAACATTGTTGAAACCTGATTCGGTGATAGCAGCAGTATGTGTTCCACTTGTTGCAATATGACATATATTTCCACTCCAATTACCTTCTACCAATCTTGGGATGAGTTCTCTATGATAAACACGATGCCCAAGTGCACCAAAACCCCCATAACCCCTGCAAACTTCATTTTAACGAAAGCAATATTTTGTATTAATGGTTTTGACTGAAAATAATTTCAAGTGAAGAAGACCAATGTGGACTTGTCCATAAATATCCTACTAGTTAAGCAAAAAATTCACCACTTCCATCCCATAAAAGCCTTTTACAATTTATTTTACAATTTACACAAGTAATGATATTCAGTTGATAATTAAAAAAAAAAAAAGAAAAAAAGAATCTAATACCTACAAAGATTTATGCATTAGCTCAAGCTGTCTTCTTCCTATATCTCTCCAACACTTGTCAAAAAGCACCCAGTCAAATCATTCTTTTTTATCAATAATAACATATAAAGACGAACATTCAGTTTCCACCAAGTGGCAGAAACCAACTCAATCATAAAATCCTTATAAACTAATGCAAACATTATACTAAGCAATTTTATATTTACTTATTTCTAAGATGGAAACAACAATCTTGCATAATCTCCTCATGGCCCACTTTTATCCAAATATTTTCCAACTTACAATCTCAAACCAACATCTCTTTTCCGTACCCCACTCTTTCTGTCCATAACTTTAAAAAAAAAAGTGTAAAAAAAAAATGCAAAGTCATGCTGTAGAATTAATGTTCATAATGACCATTTTATTTAATTAAATTAACGCTTTGATAAAAAAAAAATGAATTTTGTCTCTAATATGCAATTTCTGATATAAATCATTCAAACAGTGTTCATTTATCCCACATCTCTGGTGGTAATATAAAGAATCTTGAGTTTGATTTTAAAACATCGTTAGGTCTCATTGATCCATAAAGTCTTTGAAACTTAAAAAGAAACTTCCTATATAATCATTTAACAAACAATGTAGTAGTTTTCATACCTTCAATAATCAATACTATAAATCACTTTCTATTATCTCTCTCCTAAATCCCATGTTTTCTCTTCACTAAACTACACTCCTTCCAGTTACCTAAAAGAAAAATTCACTCCAGTTCCACTATCATTATTTTTCCTCTTATTCTCAATGAGCATTTAGTATACGAATTCTCATATACTGTTTTGATATTAGTTTATCATACCCAATCAATTGTATGTATCAGCTGGATAATTATAAACAGGGCAGCTAAGCATTCAATCAAAGAAGACATAACTGAAAGCAAATTTCTTTTCATCAATAGTAGTTAAAATTAGACTCAAAATTAAGGAATAGAGCAAAGTAAAAGCAAATAATAAGAAACTGAAATGTAGGCAGACAGAGACACAGAGTGCTGACCAAGTAAACACTTCACCGAGGGAAGTGAGAGCCACAGAGTGAAGACCACCAAGAGCAACAGAGAAAACAGATTCCAAGTAAGGATTCAAAGTAGGCAAAAAAGCAGGATTTTCATGGCCAAAACCAAGACGACCTCCATCACCTTTTCCCCACATCCACAACTTCCCGTCCACAACCAAACCCGAATGGAACAACCCACATGATATACCAACTGAATGCAAAGTTTGTTCCTTTTGATTTTGGCTTTGCTGTTGATTAAAGATTTTACCTGGGGTTGGGGAGAGAGAAAAAGAAGCAGTTCGAAAGAGGAGATTGGCTACTGGAGAAGGGTATATTCTGATTTCTTCAATGCCACCGCCTATCTGGCCTGATGCCCCTCTACCCCATGAAAGGACTTGGAGTGTTACGGCTTCCTTTCCCGACTCTTCGTTGATTTCCGGGCTTTTGTAAAGAAGAGGAACTTTGCCTTTGCTGGTGGTCGTGGCGGCACTACTGAAAGGAGAAGAGAGTCGGCGGGATAGAGGAGTAGAAAGGCGGTGTGCCATCATTCTGTAGGTCCAGTTTGCGCTCTGCTATTCCCACTGTTTATTAAGGTTAGGTATTTTGGATTTAAACAAGGTCAATTAAATAATACAGCATTGGGCTTGGCCGAGAGAAAACTTTTTTCCAAGAAAATCAAATATGTTGCTATAACTCTCTTTTTTCAATATAATCTAAAATATATTACTCCTATTATTTTATTTTAATCTAACAATAAACAAGTTTGCTTTAAATGAGTTCTTAGGGGATATAAATAGATAATAAATGAATTTTTTTGTAAACATACATCAATTGAACACGTGTACGTTAAGTTTAACTTGTTTATTAAATGAATTTTAGAATTTTGTTCAAAATTTATTCATTTATCATATAAAAGGAGCCTAACGAGCTGTTTGGTGAATTATTAGTTGAACTACACCCCTAATTATAAGTAGCCAAAAAAACACTACTAATAAGACTTAAATTTTGAACCATTTATGTTAAAATCTTACAAATTGAATCAACTGTCAATTTATCGTTAGTGAAAATTTTTCTTTTTGATATAAAAGAAATTGTAACTTAAAAATATAGTCGCAAATGTTAATATAGAAAAACTTTTTTTTATTTATAAAATTCAATACTATTCAATCCAAGACAAATCTTCAAGGGAAAGATTTGGATGAATATTTTTAAGTGAAATTTATTGAATTATTTATTAAAATTGATTAAATAAAAGTTCAAATAAAAAATTAAAATTAAAAAATCTCGTTACATAGATCAAGTATGTAAAATTTTAAAAAATTTTAATATATTTTTTAGATAAATATTTTTAGTAAAAATGTTGATAATATTTTTAGTAAAAATTTTTACCATTAAATAAGTATTGATTAAATTTGAATTATAAATAATATTTTTAATAATTTTTTACATTTTATTAATTTTTAAATTGAATTCTATTAATCTATTGGTTTAAATTTTTTATTAAATCATTTTTAAAAATAAACTTTACAAAATTCACCTAAAAAATTTCATATAAATTTTACTCAATCATTAGTCCTAAAATGAATGATTTGGCAACCATATTATTAAATGATTAATGTGGAAAGTGAACACAAATGCAAATTACACTACATTAATAATGAATCACAAACACCGTAACCGTAAGAAAAACTGACACAAAAACACCCATATCTCCCACTTTGAATGTTTTATACCCTCTAATTGTTGAAGTACACTCACCAAGATCACTTTGCTTTACCAATTAAACTTCCCACCAATAAAATTGACTCCATTCACACCCCCCCCTCCCAAAAAAAAAAAAAAAAAAGGCTAAACAAGTATCTTAAAAAAAAAAATTTAGGAAACATGTTTTCACGCATATATTACAGTATTTGGTGCATATAGAAAAATATCTATTAATTAAAATTTGCATTACCACAAAAGATGTATAAATATATGTTGTCAAGCTTGCTAGGTTGAAGGAATATTGAGCATGCTTATATATATATATATATATATATTTATATACAAAAAAAAATTGTAGTTTGGAGACAAGTACTACAAAATATTTTTTATATACTGATATTTAGTTATATTGACAATTAAATTGTATTAATAAAAAAGATTTTTATTGATGAATTTTTAATATCGTTAGAATATATCATACTTATACCAACATTTTATTTAATCATTGTTATAATTAAATTTTTTTTGATAATATATGACTATTCGTCAGTATAAATATATTATATACTGACGGTTATTAATGTAACCATCAGTATAGGCTTAAAATAATAATAAAAAAACTATTGGCTTTTATTTAGAAAAAAAATTAGGGGCATTTGATTTGCGAAATCGTAAATTTTGAAAAAAAAGTGTGATTCTCGAGACAATGTGATACTTGAGGTTATTCAAATCATTGTTAGCCAAAAAACACCTTAAATAATCCTCTCTTAAAAATTGAATGGGGTTATTCAAAGTTTTTTTGACCAAAAATACCTTAAATAATCCATTGAAAACCCAAAAAATGCTAGAGGGAAGGATTGAACCTGTAATCTTATGGTTAACAACTATATGCTTTAATTGATTGAACTACTCTAATGTTTTTATAATTAAAAGGTATTATTTAAACTAAGAATAATCCCAGGCGTTTTGAGATTATTCAATAATTTTCTCACTTTTTTTTTTTATTATTCAAAGTATTTTTGGCAAAAAAAGGCCCAAAAAACGCATTGAATAATTTCATTCAATTTTTTATAAAGAATTACTCAAAGTGTTTTCTAGTTAGCCAAAAATACATTGAATAATCTCTTTATAAAAATTGAAGGAGATTTTACCCAAGTTTTTTGGTTAAAAATGCATTGAATAACCCTATTCAATTTTTTATAAATGATTATTCAAGGCATTTTCTGACTAAAAAATGTTTTGAATAATCCCTCCAAAAAATGAAAAGCGATTACTTAAGGTATTTTTTTTTTATCAAAAAGACATTGAAACGCTTTGAATAATCCCTTACAAAAAATTGAATGGGGTTATTCAAGGTATTTTTTATCAAAAAATACCTTAAATAATCCTTAAATAAAAATTAAAAGCTAAAAACACATTGAATAATCCCTTGAAAAACTAAAAAAATGCTAGAAAAATGGATCAAACCTACAACCTTATAATTAACAATTGTATATTATAACCGATTAAGCTACTCCAATGTTTTTATAATTAAAAGGTATTATTTAAACTAAGAATAATCTCCTTTATGAGAAGATTATTTAAGATATTTTTAATTAAAAATGCTTTTAATAATTTCTTTTCATTTTCTTTTTTTAGATTATTCAAAGCGTTTTTGCCCAAAAACGTCTTGAATAATTCTTAAAATATTTAAATCATTTTCTTTTTCTCCACCTCTCACCAACTCTACATACTTAATCTCCATCTCTCACCAACTCTCTATACGTATCGGTATTTATAGCCTAATCTTTATTTCGTACCAACTCTCTCTACCTCTCATCGACTCTACAAACTTAAACTCATCGACACTCACTTTGTTTTAGAGCTGAATCAAAGTTGAAGCATCAAGATTCTTGTCATTTCTCAAAGGTATTTTTTATTTTTTGCATTTCAATTTTGTGTCATCAAGCATGCCTAATTTTTTTGTCATTCTATTGGCACTGGCTTTGATGATTGAATGTTTTGTGAAGAAGTAATAGCTTAGGACAATTGAATATTTGAGGTTCATTTCAAATAAAACATAATCTCTATTTTCTTGGTAGTTTTGGTAATGCATCTTTGTTTTAATGTTTTCTCGTAATTGGTTGACAAAATTTTTTCTATTTGGTCAAAATTTGTAAAAGATGGCAAATTCTTGCCATATTAAGGTGTAATCAAACCATTCATATCTTATTAAAATCAATAAAAAGAAATAAAAGTAAAGGTTCCTTATGCACCATTTACTAAAAATAGCTTAAAGATGTTTGGTTTCTCAAAATGTTGCTTACCCATGTCTAGATAGGATGAACTCAACATTTTTTTCAAAAAATTTGGGTAAGTAAACTTTATTAACATTTTCATAAACTTTGTAATTTGTCTATTTTTTAACATTTAAACAGCTAGATGGAGTTTCTTTTTACCTGAATTCAATGCCTTTTACTTCCAACACAGGGCTATGGTCGTTTTCGGCTTAAATGCACTAAATGATAGGATTGTAGGTCCAGACATTTTTGTCATGGGAGCTTGGAATTCTAGTAATGCTGAACCACTCACTAGATACACTGTCAACTAGGGCTATACCATTCATGGCTGGGAATTTGGTAAAATCTCTCCTTCAATATGTAGTTTAATGTATAGGAAAAAAATGATAATCTTACCTTTATTTTTTCATTAGCAAATTCTTTTTCTGTATTTTTTGTTATCTGAAACAATGAAATTTCTTAAATAACAATATGGCTAATTAGAAAATGAATTGCATGGCTTCAGCATTGGAACAATAGTTACAACATATCAATATGTATCTGATGTGAACAATCTTCAAAACATTATTTAGAATATATATAGAGGATTTGAGGTTCGACCATTAGTAATAGCATCAGGAGATTCTTTGATGTGAACTAATTCACACAATTTGTTCAAAAAAACCCAAATCTCTGCAAGTAATAACTCAACACATTTAGAACCTTGGTGTAGGTACAACAAATAGTAAATTGCATTGTTTAAAAAATATTTTCTGGAATTTAGTTATTAAATTACATATTTTCCTTGTATTTAGGTAATGATAATTAGCTTATGAACAAAATCTTAGATCTATCTTATCTAGATGGTGGGCAATAGCCCTTTAGAGACCTTCAAACGATTCTGAAGAATTCAGCAACTTCAACAGTTGTTTGGGTTGGTAAAGGGGAGCCTATAATAGTGGACAAAATCTTGTTAGCAATTCATTTGTTTATACTTTTGGTATGCTTGACTTGACCTTGGGAACATTTCCTAAGTTAATTGACTGGTAAAAGCTTAATTTGACATGAAATTCTTTATTAGGTTTTACTAATTAAACAAGTATTTGGACCAACTTGGGATAACATCATGTTACTTTAGGGAGTTGTTTATTTACTTCAAGCACCATGTTTGTAGACATTCAATCATAGATATTAATTTTTTTTATTTATTACAATGACGATAATTATTGATTTATTTTAAATTTGTGGATTATAAAACAATTTGGTTGTTGTTTTATTTCAAATGTTATTAAATATTTTTACTTTTTTGTGTATTTTTACTTTATATGAAATCATATCATATTATGATTATAAATAAAATAATATTAATAATTAAAAATAAAATTTCAAAAAAAGTTTTTATTGATGCCTTAAAATTTATATCGACGGATTTTACTATTAGAATATTTTAGGTTATACTGATAGTCATCACGTACCATCTGAAAAAGTTAAAACACATAAGGCTATATTGACAGGCATTGACTGTTGGTAAAAGAAATACTGACGGAAACATCATTGGTATAAGTTCAAAAAATTAAAACATATGAGTCTATATTGATGGAAATAATCATCGGTAAAAGGTATAATGCGGAACACATAATAATTACTATACCAACAGCTATACATATAGCGACAGATTAAAATCATCAGTATATCTTTGTTACATATTTCAACAGCTTAAAAACTGTCAGTATAGGTTCATACCAATGAGGTATATACTGACGGTTATAAATTTATAAGAATAG